GCCTCTTAATTAAAATCCTTTGAAATAGAACGCACCGAGCAGTTCCTAATACAATTGATCTTGAACTCATTTCCTGCTCATATGACACCTTCATGGTCTCGTACAACACACATAAGGAGAAATGGTCACTGGATGAACTATAGTCCATGTGTGTTCAAGAAGAGACTAGATTATTGATGAGTGAGAAGGGTGCACAAAAAGAGGCTCATTTAGTATAAAGTTGCAGGGTTGGCAGTAAAAGGGGGGAGAAAGAAAAAGATAAAAGAAGAAGAACAAAATCCCTACTATTTTAGTTGTCAACAAGAAGGATGTCAAATACTTCTTTTGTAAGAAAAGGGAGCACATGAGGGATGAGTGCCTCAGGAAGAAGACATGGCTGGAAAAGAGGGGTGTGTTTATATCGTGTGTTAAATTTGAATCTAATTTTTCTAGTGTTAATAATGACGCTTAATGGATTGACACTAGCTCAATGATCCATATTTTGACTACCATGCAGGGCTTTCTAACAAGTAGGTGTCCACATCATTTTTTCAAATAATCATGCTTTGGACCTTTTTGATGTTTTTTATGTTCCCTCTTATAAGAGGAATTTGATTTTTATGTCGAAATTGATTTCATTTGATTATCATTTAGTTCTTTCAAAGAAGTTTATGACTTTGACAAAAGACTATTTTGATTGAGAACTTAGCTATGATTTATGGTTTATTTAGAATTGTTTTTTATTTGCCTCTATTCTTTTTGTTATGCATGATACTAAAGAAGTGTTATTGATGATAACCCTCTTAACTTGTAATATAGGAGATTGGGACATATCTCTGTTGAGATAATCAAAAGGTTAAGTCAAGATGTAATTCTTCCATCTTTAGACCACTCAAAATTTGATTTTTGTGTGGACTACATAAGAGGAAAGCAAACCAACAAGTCATATAAAGGGGCTAAGAGGAGTACTACATTGATAGAAATTATACACACAAATATTTGCTGCCTCGATTTGACTGCATATGGTGAAAAATACTTTATCACTTTTATTGATAATCACTTATGATACATGTATGTCTATATGCCTTATAATAAATGTGAGGTCCTAGATGCCTTTAAAGAATATTAAGCAAAAGTAGAAAAACATGTTGGGAACCAACAAAGATTGTAAGATTAGATAGAGGTGGTAAGTACTATAGAATGTATACTAATGAAGAACAAGCACTTTGTCTATTTACTATTTTTTTTTCAAAAGCAAGGCATAATAGCCCAATACACCATGCCGTGTAGCTCTAAACTTCCAACCTTCTTATAGAAGGAAGCACTCAAGACAACCATATACATATTAAAAAAGGTTCTAGAAAGGATGTGTCTAAGAGATACCTTTAAGATCTGGGTAGGTTGGAAACCTAGTTTAAATCATTTTAATGTATAGGGTTGCCTTGTAGAAGTAAAAGCATATAACCTATAAGAAAAGAAACTAGACCCCTACTATTAGAGGTTATTTTGCAAGGTATGCAAAAAGATCAAAAAATTATAAGTTTTATTATCCTTGACCTTTCAAAAGTTTTGTAGAATATAGGAATACTAAGTCTCCTGAGGATGATGTGATCAAGGAGAGTGATTATCTATAAGATAATCACATAGAGCAAACAAATAACACTAATGATGAAGGAACACCAATAGTTAATGAATCTCTTACTCTTAGGGTTTTCAATAAACATGACGTGAATCCCATGACTCAAGTTGACAATGCTAGAAAATAGGAACATATATAAACCGACCAAGCTGCTACACAAATGGAACTAGCAAAAAATATGATGGAGGATGTTCCTAATCATCAGGCTAAACTAACCCAAAACGTTGGGTTAAGAAGATTAATTAGAGAAAGAAGACTGACATTACCTAATGACAATATAGTACTCTACTGAAGTTGACTATGATGTAAGTGTTGAAAATGATCCATTGACATTTACTCAAGCTGTAAAGGTTATAAACTCCAAATTGTGGCATGATGTTATGATTGATGAAATGAACTCCATGGCAAACAGCCATGTTTGAGAATTTATAGAGTTACCTAGTGGGCCTAAAGCCATTGGTTATATATGTTTTTTCAAAACTAAAAAGGACTCGTGAGCAATATTGATAGATATAAGGCTAGGCTAGTTGCTAAGAGTTTCACGTAAGTAGAAGGAATCGACTACAGGGAAACATTTTCACCTATATCCAAGAAGGATTCATTTTGCATCATTATGACATTGGTTGCGTATTTTGATCTAGAGTTGCACCAAATGGATGTGGAGACTGCATTCCTTAATGATAAATTAGAGGAAGAAGTCTCCATAAAACAACCTAAGGGATTCGTTGTAGAAGATGAAGAGCAGTTAGTATGCAAGCTAAAGAAGTCAATATATAGTCTAAAACAGGCTTCACGGCAGTGGTACCTAAAGTTTCAAGAAGTAATCATATCATTTGGTTTTGTTAAAAACACTATGGACGATTATATATATCACAAAGTTAGTGGGAGTGAGATCATATTCTTAGTTTTATATGTGGGTGACATTTTGCTTGCTACTAATAATATGGGACTATTGTGTGAGGTAAAACAGTTTTTGTTCAAGAGTTTTGACATGAAAGTCATGGGTGAGGCATTTTTTATCATTGGCATAAAGATCCATAGAGATAAAACCCAAGGTCTTATAGGTCTATCTCAAGAAGCTTATATTAGCAAGATTCTTAAATGATCCAAAATAAGAAAATATTCATCCAACAAAGCTCTTATTGAAAAGGAAGATAAATTTAATTTAGATCAGTGTCCCAAAACTAAGCCTAAGAGAAAATAAATGGAAAAAGTCTCATATGCCTCAGCATTAGGAAGCTTAGTGCATGTACAGGTTTGTACAAGACCTAACATTGCTTTTGTTATAGATAAGTTGGGAAGATATCAAAGTGATCTTGGGGAAGTGCATTAGACAGCTATAAAGAAGGTGTTTAGGTACCTACAAGATACTAAATACTACATGTTTATATATAGATGAACAGGCAATTTGAAAGTAATTGGGTACTTAGATTTAGATCTTGGAGGATGTGTAGATACAAACAAATCTACAATTGGATAAAGCAAAAAGAGTTATATCATCAAAAAGTGCAAAGGAAACATAGACAACCCCTTCTACTAGTGATGCTAAGTACATGCATGCTTTGAGGCAAGTTTACAAACAATCTAGATAAAGAATTTCATTGCTAGGCTCAAGATTGTGGGCTCAATCTCTAGGCTAATTAGAATATGTTATGATAACGCAGTTGCGATAGCCATAGAAAATAACAAAAAGAATAAAAGTTGAAGTAAATTTGTTGAGCTTAAATTCCTATGCGTGAAAGAAAGAGTCAAGATGGTCAAGCTTCAATTGAGCACATCAGTACAAAGAATAAGCTAGTTGATATGTTGACTAAAAGGTTGAGATCGAATGTTTTTGTTTCACATGTGCCTCACATGGGACTCAATCCTTCATTTGATTAGTTGAGGTATGAGCAATAAAACCAAATTTATGGTTTATCATTTCTAGTTTATACTTGTATACATTTGTGATATTGAAATTGATAAACATTGAGATAGGAATTGAATAAATATTGAGTTTATTCACAAAGTGATACCCATTAAGTAAGCATGTTGCCTGTAATACATGGAAGGTAATACTCGATGAAAGAAGACTTCTTGCCATAATTCTTGCAGTATAATCTTAGCTAACCTTAACAGGGCAATGACATTGATCATACGAGCCAAGTGGGAGAATTTGAGATATTTATTATATTATAATTATTTAGATATTAATTAGGTTAATAAGATAAATACCTTGAGTGTAGCCTGTAGTCATTTTAGACCTAGTACAAGTTGGATTTTAGAATAAGTTAATTAAAAGTTTATTTTCTCTGATAGTGAGTTATGAGATAACCTACAGTAAACTGAGTTAAGAGTGAGTAACCCTAGTTCTAATCTCTGCTCTCTTTCTGAGGGTTCTGTACTAGTGATAGCTATCTTTTAGTTACTATCACTATATCTAATCACTAGTTTAAAGATTCCCTATATTGTTTTCTCTAACGGTGTTCTTGGCTTTACAGTTTTCTATTATTTAGATCAGGGTCTTCATCAAACCTATTAAGCTAATGGCAAGAGGTATTTATAAGTAAATTTGAATAATTTAATAATTATTATTAATAAATAAATTTGAAAAAAAAAGGAAAGAGAAAATATCTTGGAACGAGATGATCCCGTCTCGCATCCTGTCCTGATCATTGTTTCACCTCGTCCTGAAGTTTTTTTTTTTTTGTCCTGAACACCCATACGCTTCAATTTTTTGGTGAAAGGATGATGGGGGTTGTAGAGTCATTGATAGCAGCAGCAACCCTCCCCCCAATCTTTTGTCAAGGTTATTTTTTTAAGACTGTTATGCATTCGGCTTTTTTTTTTTTAACTTACAGATCTTTTTACATATTCTAATATATTTTTAATAGATGAAAAATATTTAAAAAAAAATGTCTCCTAACCAGCGCTCTTTTAAGAAAAATGAATTTTATGAACTAAAAATTTTAAATTTGAATCATTCAAATTAAATTTAAAATGTTTCAGATACCATTATAACAATGCCTGCCACTCTAAGTTCTGACAAGCACTACAAATGGATCCGCCACTAAAATTTCACAGCTCCGCCATGAAGAGGTTTTCGTTGCTGTGATTGCTTTTTATTTTTTATTTTTAAAGAACCGCAAATCCAGACCTTAATAAATTATAATTATTTTGAAATTATACTAGTATGGTATCTTACATGGTTTAGGTTTTTTGGGCCTGAACATGGTTTAGTAATTTATGTACATTATTTTGTTTATTTTCTTTTAAGGTTACACTATCTTTACTGATAGCATCTAAATAATAAGAAGGTAATTAAATCCTCTTATCATGAATAGCAAAACGGCATTTTAAATTATAAAATTTTTATCCTTTTTTTTTATTCCACTTTTCATTCTTTCAAAAAGCATCTTCATGATTCATCAAAACAAACTTATCACTCATCAATGATCAGTCATCCTAAGTGCATACATCAGAGTTCCCCACCTCCAAGAGTAATAACCTCACAAATAAGAAACAAAAATTGGGCTCATATTAACCAGATCCACCCAAGAACCGACCCGCCCACCAACCCAAACCCGAGAAAAACGATCATCACGATGGCGCTTAACTCAGATTCCGACGGCTGCACATGCTTTGGTGCTACAATCATAAGGCCACTTGTCAAGAATCCATTGGTCAGTCCAAGCACAAAAGTCAGCACCACAATTGGCCCCTCTGATCTCAGCCACCTAGGTCCATGAAGACAAACTATGAACAGTGGATAGAACAAAAGCCTAGAAATGGAAGCCCACGCTGCCGTTTTGATCGATTTCACAACGTAAAACGCAGTCAAACACTTTCCCATAAGATCTGCTATATTGTAAACTGATATGAGCAAAATAGGGTACCAATCCTTGAACAACTCTGATACAAGATCTTCTGCAATGAATCCTGGGAAGATGGAGAGAGTCACTACGTAGATTATAAAGATTCCAAAAGCGTGACCCCGGATCTTCCCCGCGACGGCCCAGAATTTCGGCGCTAAAGAATATGACGAGTTCTCGCCGTTGTTGCCGGCGGCTGCTTCCGGGAGAAGGCTGTGGTGGTGATAGTACTGTTGCATGACCGGCAACTTGAACAGCAAGTTGCAGAAGATTATGCAGAAGAAGAGGAAGATGGTGGCGACGATGAAGTATAAGTGGGCGCTTGTTTGAAGGCCTTTTGGTGTTTGAGGAAGTGAGGCCTTTGTTATAATCCTCAAGATTGAAATTATAATGCCTGCAATAATGGCAAAAAGAGAAGATTTTGATTTTAAGTGATGAAGTTTGAACTTTGATAGCAGCTAAGGGAAATTAATTAAGTTGAGAAAAAATATTTTAGTTTTTTTCAAAGTAAAATATTTTAGTTCAATCTTGTGATAGGTTTTTTTTGCTTTTTGGCAGAATAAAGTGAATATTTCTTTAGGCTAAATATTGAGTCATGCTTAATTAGTATAGGGAGAAGTACATAAACATTTAATTTATTCAAAATTGATAGACTTTTAAAAGTAAAAAAAACATTTTATAGTTATTATATAAATTAAAATAAATCAGTGTCTGCTATTATATTGCTGATATGCATTAATCAGAAATTTGCATATCAATGCAAAATAAAATACGGACACACACACATATGTATATATGTGTAGCAAAATTCAAAATAAATGAGTTTGCTTCTATAATTTCATCAAAGTTAAATCTTATAAACTAGTCTTCTTTTAAGAGAGATTTGTGCATGTTTTAATTTTTTTTTTTTTACCTCAACAGCTTTAAAAAAAAGGAAAACTTACATGAGTTAAACAAATTCATAGAATATTTAAAAATAAAATATATATTCCTTATATTCAATAGAATTTTGAGAAATTTACCCAATTTAATTTATAAATTATAGCTTTTCTTATTCCTAGAATCTTGTCTAACAGAGAAAGGAGGCCAAATCTTCATGTAAAAAAAAAAAAGGAAAAAAATTTTGCAGAAAAAAAAAGAGCATTAAATTTGTGAAGCGCCACTTACCAGAGGAAGCAGTTCCAGCAAAAACAGCTTGCATATACTGTTTAGGCAGCTTCCCAGCAGAACCAACCAGACTTCCTCCGACCAACCCATCAGCTAACCCACAAATAACCACCGCCGCAACAGTCAACCCGTATGCCCCGCTCGGCCTCGAGCCCCCGGCGGTGGCCGCTGCAGAAGCCCAGTCAATCACAGGAGGCACCATGAGAGACAAAACGAACAAGGAAAACCCCAGGTTCATCCTCAACCTCAAGCTCATCCTACTCCAAACTCTAGGCCAACTCATCATCAAAACAAGAACCAGCACGGACGAGGCCATGTAAGCCACAGAGAAAACCTTCTCAATGTGCTTCGTTGGATAGAGGTAGGCGAAATAATCGACGGCGGTGATCAAGGCATTCCAAGGCAGCAAGTTTCCGGCGCCGAGGAAGAAGTGAATGATGTAGGCAAATCTGAACGGGTCTTGAACGGCGCCGCCGTGATGATGATGATGATCAGACTCAGACGACGGTTTCTTCACAGGGAGTTCCATCTTCATCAGCTTCATCTCGATGTGTAATTAGTTGGACATGATTTGAGGCATTGCATGTGATATAATAAGAGAGAGAGAGAGAGAGAGACAAGTTGGTTGACGTTTGTGATTAGAACTTAGAAGAGATGGTCGTATATATGCGAATGAGGTTGGAGGTTTGAGAAGGAGAACAGTGAGTGTGGGGACAGGAATGGATGGGTGATATTAGATATACCCTTTGGGATAGTACACTTACACATGGGCTCATAAGCTGTCTTATCCTCCTTGCTGTATTTGGCTCATTGCCCTTAGGTTTAGCTCTTGAGAGTCTAATTTTCCTTCTATTACCAACAATTGAGGCTGTGTACTGCTTCCAACTACCTATATGTGGCCAAAGAAATTGCCTTTTATTACATAGCCTATCATTATTGCATTATTAGTCGCTCTTTTCCCATAAAGAGAGGGTGTTGTTTATTTATTTATTTATGAACGTGTGTATATACATCATTGAATGAAAACTCAAATTGGGACTAGGTTGACCCAGAAATCTGTAAATCGATTTCTTGATTAGTCTAGTCTTTTATTTGAAATCGGTTAGAATCTAATTGGAGATCAACCCATTTGACCTGAGATTAACCAGGCCAATTTCGTGAGTTAAACGGATCCGTCAGGTTGGATTTTATATAATTTTTTATTTATTTTGTTGAACCTAGTTACATTTCAAGTTGAAAACAAAAGAAGAAGAAAAATAATATAATAAATCATATTTTTGTTTTAGTAACTCCGTTTTGTTAAATTATATTTTGTTTAAGTATAAATGTTTCTTTTACTTGGGGATTAATTTCTTTTTTATGCAAATATTATTTTTCATAATTAAATATAAATTTTTTATATTTTAATTAAATTATATTATTTTAATTCTGATCCATCTGACACTGATTCCCTTACTACCTCTTAAATCACTTATTACGACCAACTCTTTGATGCCTTCCCCCCCCACCCCAACACACACACAACATAAACTTAAATATTTTTGTTTAATGGATAAATAATACAGATGTAGAATGCATTTTAAGTACAATTATGAGTAAGTTACTTCATATTATTACGATGCTTGGATGACGCAACCATTTATGCATTATTACGAATATTAGTGCGTGAAGAAAACAACTTCAAATATGCTCCTCTTGTCCTATTTATAAGATACTTTAAGCATGTTTCACACAGATCAAGATAAAAATCTTATATTAACTCTCCATTAAAATATAATAATTTTTCAATTTTATCCCTATATGATATATATACCTTTAAAAAAAATAACAATTTATACTATAATAAATAAATAAATAGTACATTCATGCTAAAAACTTAATGAAATGACTTATATATGACCAAGAAAAGCTCTCTCTCTCTACCTTATAAAGGGGACCATATGAGTATTATATAATATATATTAATAGTTATATTAACATTATTGATATTGATTTGGACCATTACTATTTTTTAATGATTAAATAGTAAATATATCTCTTTAGCTCTCTTAATATGACAAATTAATTGTATTATTAATGGAGACCCTTGTTTATATTTTTTGTATCATAAGTTTTTATGATAATTTTATATATTCAGAATCCTTGAAAATAAAAAATTTGTAATACTAGTCATATATTCAGAGAAACGGCCCCTCCCTCTTTTCCATCTGTAAAGGACGGGAAGGGGGGAGCAGATTGAGTTTTGGTTACCCCCACCAAAACAGGACCCCCTCGCCCCATACCATATTGTTGTACTTAAATAGAAATGAAATATATACTCTCTTTAATCCTTAACATAAAAGTTAGATAATTAATTTGTAGAAAATAAATAATTAGTCTTTAATTATTTGCATTAGAACTATTCTTAATAGAAATCCCTTTAACATATGCAACCAATAAATGTAATTTGAAAAAAAAAGTACAATTTGTGAAATAAAGTAAACTGGGATTTTATATTTAAAACCAAAATAAATCCCCTAATAACTAGCTATTTTATTTAAGACTGAAAGGAATATATAACGGAGACCTTCGTTTATATTTTTTGTATCATAAGTTTTTATAATAATTTTATATATTTAGAATCCTTGAAAATAAAAAATTTGTAATACTAGTCATATATTCAGAGAAACGGCCCCTCCCTCTTTCCCACATATAAAGGACGAGAAAAGGGGGCAGATCGAGTTTTGGTTACCCCCACCAAAAAAAGACCCCCCCATACCATATTTTTGTACCTAAATAGAAATGAGATATATACTCTCTTTAGTCCTTAACATAAAAGTTAGATTAATTAATTTGTAGAGAATAAATAATTAGTCTCTAATTATTTGCATTAGAACTATCCTTAATAGAAATCCCTTTAACATATGCAACCAATAAATGTAATTAAAAAAAAGTACAATTTGTAAAATAAAGTGAATTGAGGTTTTATATTTAAACCAAAATAAATTTCCTAATAACTAGCTCTTTTATTTAAGACTAAAGGGAATATATAATTTTAATTGGTTTGTTGAGATATTTATGTTATCTATAATATTAACTCATTATTAACTTACTTATATGTATATTATATATCAATTGAGCTTTTTTTAATTTAATTTCCTTATCATATTTATCATTGGTTCCACATTTAGAGTAAGTTTTATTTTAGTTCTTTGACCTTAACCCAACACCTCACAACATGAGCTGATGACAGCTATGAACTAACTGTGTTCGCGTTTTCAAAGGCATCCCTCTCTTTCAACAGGATTCGCGGCATGTCAAGTCTTGGTAAAGTTTTTTGCTTTGCATTGAATTAAACCACATGCTCCACTGCTTGTGTTGGCCCCGTCAATTCTTTTGAGTTTCATTCTTACAAAATTGCTAAGTTTCATTTTCAGTTAACTTATCTAATGGTATTAGAATTTAAAAAGTTTTATTTGAAGCCAGCTCACGTAATAAAAGTGAAGGTAGAGGTTAAGAATTCAAACACTTCTAATACATAAAAATATACAACATTTTGGAGTTCATCTAAAAAGGTAAACGAATATAATCAAACTTTAAAAAGTTAAAGAAGCAATAGGAAAATCTATTTTGGAGTATATCGTTGCCAATGATTTCACTTCTTTTTGTTTTTTTATATGTTTTTATAAATAGCTATAGATAAAAAAAAAAATCGACGTTATCATAGCATAATTACTTAATGTTTATAATTAGCCTACCATGATGTGGGCCCCATGTGTCTTTGTGATATTATATATCTGCGTAAAAGATCATTAATTACATTTAAAAATTGCAACTAGAAATTTCGAAAAAAAGGCCTTGGTAGGATTTTTTTTTTCAGTAGACCAAAATGCCCCCTCAAAACCCTGGTCTTTCTTTTTTTTTTTTCTGTTACAATTTCTTCAACTAATAGTCACAATCCCTGAAAATAATAAAAAGTCCTCCAATCAATGTGTGTTTGCCATTTTCCTTGGAATGCATTATATAATGAAATGACACATTAAAAAATTGAATAACTCGCGAGCGTCCATGTTGAGAGGAAGTCAGTGGTGAGGAGCTAATGAAGGGCTTGTCAAGATTGACATATCAGAAAAAGAAAGAACGAAAAAAGAAGGGTGTGAAAGAAAGAGTTAAATTATGTGATGAGAAAATTATTTAGTAAAGAATTTGATACTGTTGAGAGAGAGAGAGACAGAGAGAGATCACATTCACATATTCACATGCATTCTCTTTGTTTGACAAACGTCATTTCCTCTGCTACATGGATGCCGTTATTCCTAGCTTTTCTTCACTTTACTAGCTTGCTCGCTTCACAATACTCATAAGCTTCTCCAATTCGAATCACTCCTTGCTTTAATATTACTTCACAAAAATTATCATTTTTATTTGTTATGATTGAACTCTCACGCCAACACAAACATGCATATTAATGTCGGTCCGAATGCAGGTAGCGTTACTGTTAAAACAACTAGAGAAATATTCTCTCAAAAATTTGAGAATATACATGTACCATTGAAATAACTTAACAAAATTACGTGTGAGAGATATACGTGTACCATTGAAATTTGAGAATCGCAAAATATTCTCTCAATATGATTTAACTCTTATGAAGTTATTAGGCGCTATTTTGAGATTAATTTTTTAAGAAATGATGCAATTGTTTATAGTAAACTTAGTTGTCTGATCTTAGTTGTTGTTATTTCATATGTTAAAGTTATTATTCATTAAACCATTATTTTGATTCTGTTATCCTATTTTTCAGATTTCAAACTAAGGACATTTAGATAATTTTGTTACAAAATTTAATTCCAAACTACTCCCTAAGAATTGACAATGTTTAAGCCATTTTGGTGTTCTAAATTCAAATTTACAAATTTGAGGGGTATTTTTGTATCTTTATCATAAAATTATATGGATTATTTATTTTTTTTCTCTTTCTAAAAAATGCTATGACAAGACCATAACATTACATAATGAACATATAAAGGTGGTAGGTGGTGACATGGCATAATGTGTTCGGATGATAAGAGTTCATCATAGTTCCCATAATAGTAGACTCAACACAACAACAAGGAGGTTAAGGATTCGAATATGAGGAAGGTGCATTTGGGAGGTGAAAATATTAGTCGATAATATGGCGAGATGTGGCAGGTGGGTAGTGACGTGATGCAACATGGCAAATCAGCAGGTAAGCGACAACATGGGGTAACGTGGCATGGGGTGATGATGTCTCATTATTTTTTGCTATTTAGCATTAACATTTTGTTGTTGCTAAATGTGACATTTAGATGTCACCAATAAAGTGACCACTTATTTTGTCTCTGTCAATTAGTATCAGTGACATTTGCTATAGCAATGACTTGGCAACAATAAAAAGTTATCACTAAAAACCTTCAACGGTAACTTTTTGACTTTCAACAATGACTATTGTAGATACCAAAAGTCAATTTTTTTTGTAATGAAAATAAAGTATGATATATCTTTAATTTATTCAAATAAATTAACCCCTTATATATAATATAAGAAATCGTAAAAAGAAAACACAAATAAAACATTAAGATAGCTAACATTTTTTGCAAGCTATTTTGCATATTTGTTGGCTCTCTTTAATAAACATTTTCTAATAAGGTAGATTATGAGTTTG